ATCTAAAGGAATACAAGCGTAGTTCACTATAAGATTGTACATGAAAATTAAATTTTAATATTTAATACTAACAACAGCTAAACAACAATAATAATAGTTCACAATAGTTTTCAGATCTTCTAGATAAAAATCCAAGCAGAAGTGCTGATAGAAAAAAACCCACTGACAACACAACACTGTTCCTAAAAGTTAAAATAGCAAGAGGGATTTTTGTAGACGGAAGTTTGTATCTTTTATTAAGCCAGGTGGATACCTGGAAAAGTTAAACTTGCAGACAAGCAAGCTCTTCTTCTTGTCTGATACAGAAGCATCAGACTTTGAAGCTAAATCCAAGTCGAACGCAATTGCTCAGAGTTTAATTATAGAGCATTTTTCATAAAACTCTGCAGTTCTTACCTCTAAGTCCTTCTTTTCACAACTCCTGTACAAGATGAACCTTGAGTCTAGGATACAAAAAGTCTTGGCTTCAGCAGAACCATTAGCTTTATCTTACATCACAGTTTCCATGCACGTGCTTATCCCTTCCTGTTTCACAAGTTATAAACTATCTATCACTCTTTTTAGTAACAACTTGCTTACCTTATCAACTCATCTTCCTCCCTCACCCTTCCACTCTACTCCACACAAGAAAACAACATGAGAAAGATCTGATATATGATCTAATATACTAAACCAAACAATCTTCCCAACTTCTTTTTCGGTCTGAATTCCTCCGTTCTGAGCGTAAAAAGAGCTTGCGTGCTTAAGGGACTGGCTGATTTTGATCTTCTGGAATAAATATTGATGCACACAACTCATTCTCATTATCATAGATCCTCATAGCTGGAGTTTCAGCACTATCAGAACATTCCAAACTACCCCACGAAAATTTCTCTTGTCATTTGCTCAAGGTAGAGATCCTCAAACCATAGGACAGCTTTCATTCTTGGTGAAGGTGACTCACAGATGAAGGAAAAGCTCTGACAACTTCTAGGTTTTTTTCTGTGAACGAGGGGTTGAGATTAGACTTTACCTGCTGGAGTACAAAGCTGGAATTTGTAAGCCCTGTGATGTTTTTGTTTCAGCAAATTCACTATTGCTTGATACTCTAATATAATCATGTGCTTGTAGTTTTTTAGCAGCAAGTGACAAAACTTGAGGCCAGCTATAGATCAACTGGCATCAGTTTTATTCGAGAGACATCCAAATATTGTAACCAATTTATAAGGAAAAGCAAATTAAGCCACGTTATGAAATCACACTAAAGATTTTTTTTGCATATCTTGTAGCCCTCAGAATATTATTCCTTTTTTTGAGCGCTACAGTTTTGGATAACATGATTGTGAAAAATATAACTTCTGATTCACCTTAATATTTATAGTTAATTTTTTTCCTTTGCTGTCAATAGCAGAGTATTTAAGAAAAATAAACATCCATTTTGTAGATTTCTGCAAAACCTGTCATTATTTGCGCTTTAAAATGACAATTTTTCTGTATCAGTATTGGATCGTAAAGTCAATGAAAGCTTTACCCTATAGACAAACAGGGAAAAGAACTTCAACTGTTGTAGTTAATGAGAAGTTTTCTTGTGGTTCCTGTCTATTAACTTGGCTTTGGACAGACACAAAGATCACGGGCAGTTACTGAAATATCTCTGCACCTCTACCCACTTCTGTTGCTGCCACATTAATGTCTGTCCTAACTTTTCTTTTAGAAATCTAATGCTAGTGAACAAAAGAAATAGAATCTGCACCTGAAACTGTATTTCAAGAAATGTTTTATAGCATTATAAGTAATCCTACTTCCATTCGTCAGTGTTAAAGCAGAAGTGTTGTTCCTCTTTCTTCAAATTTTATGCTGGAAATTCTGTATTAACTCATAGGGGTTATCCTTTGCCTTAAAAAAATTATGTTCCACATGGTACTTGGTTCTATTCTATAGGAAATGATGGAAAGGATATTTGTCTTCATCTTCATTTCTAAGAGAAGATAGAGATACTGTTTGTGGGATCCACAAGCTTTTTAGGTATTTTTAGGAAACTGAAGGCTACTTAGGCATGATAAAAAGTAACAAAGGAAATGTTTGTCTTCAGTATCTCTTAACTCCAAAGTGAAAACCTGGGAGTAAAAGAATTTTCCTTGTCTTGTCCCTTATCTATGTAGGCACAAGCAAAAAGACAATAACATTCATATCTATATTAAAACCTCATGGAAATAAATCTTTTTAATTGTATTCTGTTTCTTTGTGTCAGTCCTAGGTTCTTGATATTTGCTTGCTTCTTTGTGATCTACTTATAATTAAAATATGTATTCTTTTTGTTAATATTTTGTGTTGAAATTAGTCTAAGATGCATGGTACTGTTTCTTCAGAAAATGCTGTAGTTCGTCTTTTGAACATAAACTCTAATATAATTATTAGAAGATTTCTGATTAAAATTGGAAATTACTTCTGGGATGGATCATTAACCATGTTTTCTTTAAAGAAGGAGTACTTTCAAAAAAATCCCGTACAACCAACCAAGCAAGTTTTACAGATAGGAATTCTTCCATAGATTTGCAAACATGAACTCCAGCAAAAGAACATTGCAGTTATCCTGAGTAGATAATCAGATGAACAGAAGTTGGAAAATATAAAATCATTCCTTCTGTGTCCATTTTTGTGCAAATATGATTCATCCCATCTTGAGTTTGGGAATATGCAGACCATTTAATCATTAACAGGTATATAAAATCAATATTTACTGTGTGTTGAAAAGGATAAATTAAGGGACTTTAGTTTCTTAAGAAGAACTTGAGGTAAAACTTTCCCGATATGACTGCGATGGAGTTGTGGGTTTTGACTGCAGACTTTCCCTTGACTGGAGTTGTTTCCAGACTCACAGGGGCTAGTAAGGAATTCTGACACTTTGAATGAAAACAATCAAAGTAATGCAAAATATAAATGGTCCTTCAACCAAGAGCTTTTTAACGGGTCACAACAGGCAAACTCTGGGAAGACTGGCATGGTTTTTTTCTCCTTGTGTTAGTTCACTATCTGAAGTGAGGTACTTGTAAAAACGTTCCAGAAACACCAACAGTTAAGTTGAACACCACATAGTATTTGAAGGAAATCCAGCCTGCATTGAAAATAAAAAATTGAGTCTGGAAAGCTTCTGCTTTTCATACAAAGTATACTTTAAACAATTGTTTATGTTCAGTATGTGTTTTATATTGGGCCAAAGAAGTCTTCTGGTCTTTTATCAGATGTTACCTTTTCTGCATAAAATAAAGGTTACGTTGCCATTAACAAATATTCTGACAATTTTTTTCACTCTGTAATTTCTCTGCAAGTTTTTTTTTTATTCGTACTCCCTAAATTCTCTTCATTTTGGTACAGTATTCATCATGAGAGTAGCCTAAGTCAAAGTTTCTGAGAATTTAAAATTTCTACTTATATTGGACAAATATGAAAATGTTTATTGATTAAATTCAAGTATTGAGTCAGATTTTTTTTCTCTTTCCTGCTTCATTCCTAAAAGTTACTCAGCTTCTTGTCTTCCCTCAGGATCCCAGGCCAGAATGTAGATTTTGCTCTGATTCAAGCACAGCAATCTACTTCACCTATGCACATATCCTCTCTAGAGAGGAGACAGATGATAGCACTCTAGGAGTTTAATACACTAAATAATATTGTGATTATGTTATGAAGTGTCTTTTATGATATTTTGGGCTGAGAAGTTTGAAATATCCTCTTCCTGTACTCAATTCCAGAGCCGCTATAATTTTTTTTTCACTGCTTGGAATTGTGGGATTAGGGAAGAGAAAGGGGAAATGACATTTCTGAGGATGTGTTTGTGTGATGGTGCTCCCTATGCTCGTTTCTGAACTGATGCTGTTTACATACTGTTCCTTCCTTAAGCTTTTAAGTAATCTGATCTATGTTTAGCTGTGTTTGGCTGGCACAAGGCACAGTAGCACCATTGCAAGGCTGAAGTTTGCATTTCAGCTTTGCTCTAAAATAAAAAGAGAGAAAAAAAGTAGATTTTTGAGTATCATGAGGTATCATTTCAAAAGTTCACGTCAGCTGGGAAAGGGAATCAGAGCAATTTGGTGTAATTATGAGTCAAGATCAGATCTTAAATGCACAAAGATCTCTAAAAACAACAATTACTTGAGCAGACAGTGAATATAGTTAAATAAACATTTTGTACAGTTCAAAGTAGAAGATTCTGCATGTCTTCATTTTGATAATTATCAACTGAAAAACTGAGCAAGGAGGGGACTCGTGGATTTTTGTAGATATAACTTAAATAATAAGTACTGTTCTTAACATTAGCAGAAAGAAGTTATAGTAATAAGTATAGGCCATGTTGCATGCAAGTGTGAATGTCTGCTTGTGTATGCTCTCTTAGAGATAATTTCTAAATCTTCATGAAAAATTACAGCAAGGAGCTGAACTAACGCATGCTCTGATGAGGCTCTAAGAATGTAGCCCAAAAGAATATTTATTACTTTGTCTTTAATTTGCTTTGAAACTGATTTTTTATGCACCCAATTTATCTTTTTTTATTAAGTTAACACATGCATTAATTTTAATATTATGCAATTAAAATATTTAAAATTTATTTATTTTAAACACTGTATGTTGTTTGTCTTCTCTAAAACCTTGTTTCAGTGTAGTTATTAAAGTGGAAAATGGTGATCATCAAAACAGTTGACTATAAAGAAGATGATTTATAACAATATGATTTCTTAATATTTTGAGTATTGTTTTTATATGTTTTTAGATTGTTTTTATTGTTCACTAAGCAGATATTTCTATTAAATTTACTTCAGTAAAAAGACTATATCCCATTGTTTGTATTTTAACACCAGCAGAGATCTGGGGATTAGTTGCTCATCTCACTTTATGATAAATGCAGGTGTGTGCATGCTAGACTGAAATTACACTTGAAACTAATCATCCACAGAGCCATAAAACCCTGCCCTAAAAAGAGCTGTTGAGTCTGAAAACGTTGTAATTTACTTCTATTTTATTTGCAGATTGCCTTCTCACAGCACAATACTATCATGGATCTGGTGCAGTTCTTTGTCACCTTCTTCAGGTAAATTGCTTTTTCTGTCTTCTGACTGAAATCGTGCTGATTCTTGACCATCAAACCTGTATCTTAACCAGCTTCTGAATCTTGAGAAGTGTCTAAAAGGAAGCCTTCAAACTGTGTGCCCTAATTTGCACCAGTGGAGGATCCAGGCCATTGCCCTGTAACTACAGGCAGCTGCTGGAATCTTTCATGTGTTTTATATTCAGTGGTACAGTCCTCACATTTCATAAAGATCTGTGCTATATATTACAGTGATTAAAGGAAGCCAGCTAAACTCAGACAAGTCATTTATGTGCGTGATTCCTTTATAAACACTTTAAAAGAATTATTGAAAATGATGGCTCTGTTCAATGGCTTGTTATTTTTAACAAAGCACACCAAATCACTAGTCATGCTTTCATGTGTTAGAGATTAATTGTGAAAGGCAGTAGGTGATGCCTGAGATCTGGTTGTGGCAGCAATGTAGGAATGGGCTTCAACTGCAGATGGATAACTACTCTGGGGTCTGAACAAAACTCCACTGAAAGACTTCTTGAAAGTTCAACTGTCTTATAAAATGTCACAAACTTGAATATACATGGATTAGTTACAGTGCTTTGAAATCTTGCTGTGAAGATATTCCCCAATAACCATGAAGTGTTCACAAAATGTGAGCAGTGACAGATATGTTCATCAGACTTTCTGTATTTCTAGAACCATCATGCATTTATTTCACAAGGTCTCAGCACAACTTTTCTGTTTACATCAATCCCTGTGCTCTGAGGAACTGTACCTGAGGAATCAGACTCTTCAATACTGTGAACAGACCAAATTCTGTTTATTGCTGTCACCAAAATGCGCACAGAAATGAGCAGAGCCTGAAGATTTCTGTGCCAAATATATTGGCTATTGGAGAGGGGGTTAGTAGCTGGTATGAAATGCCCCATTTTTCCTCATTCACCAAAAACACAGCAATAAAATGCTGATTGTCTGAAGTTCAGTCTAGTAGAGTTTGGGATTTTAAGGGTTTAGTTGTTGGGGTTTTGGTATTTGGGTGTCTTTCCTCTATTTTTTCTGGGAGGCCAGCAGGATCTAAAAAATTATGCAAACCTTGAGATGACAAACTCATCTAGAAGAAAGCAAAGTCTGTCCAAGTACGAGAGAACAGAGAGACCCCATCCCAAATAGCAGAGGTAGACTGTAAGCAGTTTGTTTGTGCTCTGTGCCCTAAAGCAGCCTTAGAGAAGGTAAACTATAGGCTCTTTGGTGGTGAAACCATCTCTGTGGATACAGTGTGTTACCTCTCCTGGTGTGATTGTCTACATCTGAATTGGTATGAAGGTGTCTGTGGCGATAGGTAGGATGTTTAGGAGCTGGAGCTCTCATCCTGTGTTTCTAAGAAAAATATAGAAGCAAAAAGAATAGCACAGTTTGCAAAGCAGAACCTGAGAGGGGAAGAGAAGGGAGAGGGGAACTTAAGTTGGTTCTGAATTAAATGACTGCTTGAAAAAAGTGATTAATTGCATTGCATTCCCAAGATTAACTCAGGCCTATTGCTTGGCTAACTGGTTCTTTCCAAGACAGGAGCCAGTACCTTTTGGGTATCTTTTTTGTCAGTGTTATGCCCATGGACATGGGGTTTTCACAGGTGTTAAAGTGCATTGATTCTCTTATCACAGAACCAGTCCAATCATGGGTAATATCCCATGGTAAGGATCCCAGCATGGGATCCTCACTGACAGCAGAGCTAGCAATCAATCAGTCCATGTAGATGATCCAAAGAAGCAACCATGGGGTTGATTGTCACTGGAATATTAGTTGCAATGTGTTGTAAATAAATACAGGGAAAGCACTTAGTTTGCCCTTTTCAGAATATCAGAATGAAAGATTTCCAGTCCAGACACCATTAAAACTTTCAGGAGCCATTAAATTGGATGTTATTTCTACAGGATCACTATTCTAAACAACCTGAAGAACACTTATGACTGAAAATCATAGCAATAACTGATTTATATTTTTTTCACAATAGTGGACAAAGTTGTACCCAAAAGACAGGAGATCTAAAAGTTCTCTCCTTGTTGATTGATAGTGTTTGAGCCCTTATTTGAAAATTTTATTTCAAAGATTTGTAGTCTAAAAGAATTATTTTAATAAGGGTTTGTTTGTTTGTTGTTTGGTGTGGTTTTAGTTTTGTCTCTTTGAGGGGGTTTGTTTTCCTTTGTTTACTGAGTAGGAATGTGGTATTTTATGAGTGCGGCAAATTATGTTGGTAACAGGTCATATTTACTAGGGTTATTGATTGAGAAAATAATTGTGTTTAAAGATAATTTGAATGTGCTTGACAACGAAGCGTATTTCAACATGCTTTGATAAACATACATTTGCATTTCTCCCATCTAGTATTGTATTCCTCGTGTTTCTGAGGATGTGACATAATGCTGTTCACCCTGGCTGCCTAACCAAAGCAGCAAATAGGTTAATTTGACAGGAACAGCTTTTCAACAGCCATTCAAAACTATAATTTAAAACTGTTGAAATAGGTTGTATGTTCCAAACTGAAAGAAGAATCAGAAACTTCAAAATAACAAGCATTTTTAGAACTGTCCTGATCTATCAAGATAAACTATTTCAAAAGTATTGTTCTGTAAGAACTTTATTTAAAACTATACATAAAAGCAAAAACTCAGCAATTAGCTCTGCAATTAATGCTTGGTCTACCAAGATACTGATACTCTATATCCTAGAACAAAAAAATTATAGAAGTAAAAGTTCTATTGAAAAAATAAGCAGAATATTCTTGAAGCTGTAGTGCTCCACACCATGATATGAACAGTTTAAAACCCTTCCTTATTTAATTTCATTCTCTTCCTCCTGGAAGGTTTCATTGTATCTACTTGTTCAATGACCTTTTCTCTCGAGTAAAAATGCAATCAGTTATGTAAGAGTAGGAGCAGGTTCCTCACTGTCTTATAGAAAGTTTGGCATCTGTGTTGCTTTCCTCAGTGCCTTGAAGACTTTTACTGTCACACAAATTGAAAAGTGTGTGACTTCTTTTTTTCCACCTGCTTTGAAGAAGTACAGATCTCATTAGGAAATTTCACAGGCGGCAAATGTGAATGATCATTCTTCTTACACTGAAGAAATGCAGTACCCACAGTTAAAGAAAGTCTGTTCCTTCATTGCCCTGACCAGTAAAACACTTAATATGCTAAAGTTTAGAGGATTTTTCCTAAATTATAAGTGATAAAAACACTTTTAGTGTTCTCTAGTCTTACGTGAATACATGGTTTAGCTGAGTAGGTACCAGAACATTTTTGGCATTGCATAATGGTATAAGAAACAGCTTTATTTTCTAGAACATTATTTATTTTTTTCTTTAGGTCCTATTTTATCTGCACAAAAATTGACTGTTCAATAATTGTTATTTTTTATTATATATGATTCGAGTAAATCCAGAATTGAGAACCAATAAACACTTGATTTTGTAACATGTTTTTAAATAAAATTTGAACAGTATAACAGAATTTATAACAACACTTATGAATTTCTTGAAAAATTATTTGTATTAATAATCTTAAGCAGGACTTTTGGTAAGAAATGTGGGTTTATCTCATAAACAGAAACCAGGCAAGCATTATATCAGTGCAGATGACAAAAGTTAGCTGTTAACATACTTGTGATAGGAAATGATATGCATCTGCTACTGTCATAACTAGTTTTTTAAAGCCTATTTCAAAAGATGGTACCAACTACTAACTTATCAGCACTTTCTCTGAGTGTACATCCTTATGCTCCCAGAACTATTCCTTTCGCTGCCTCTGGCACTCTGGGTGGAGCTGGAAACAGTGGATTTTATATCTGAATGGAGTACTATACTTTAGTCACTTTTATAACACGTCTCCTTACTGTTATGAATTAAAGAATTCAAAATTTTTAATAAGTAGAGCATTTTTAAATAATATAGATAGTTTTAAAATTTGTTTTCTGTGTGCTTTTAGAAATTCCGTAAAAATTTATGTCATTTAGGATCAGGGGTACATTCTTTCTGATAAAGCTTTCTGTGAGCAATAAAAATGAGAGAAAACAATATTCCAAATATACCTAGTGTTTATTGCAGGAGGAGGAGATGGGCATTTAGGTAAGGACAAGCATGAGCTGCAATAGGAATTTCAGCAGATACTGAAGAACCAGGTTGATTAACCCCATATGTACGACTGTGTGCAGTGGGAGAATTCCTTCTCCCTACCAGCATTCTTTGCCCTCTATACCTGGCTTCATTATTTGTTTTTGTTAAAATGAATTAGTTAAAATAAATTAGTGCTAGATTTTGGCATGCCTGTCTTCATGAGATCCCATACTGATCTCCATAGAAAGACAAAACACAGTGTGTCAGGATCAGATCTCATCCACCATGGCTGTGTCTTCAGAAAGTGTAGGAGTCTTATAAATCTAAATTAGTATATTTTATGGTAACATGAAAATCAAGTCATCTTAGCAAAATGGATTTTACATTTGGGGCTAGAATAAAATTGATTTTTACTCAGTGATGCATTAAACAGTTTTCACCTCACTTAGAAGCAAAGAGTTGTTTGACTTCCACTGGGACAAGCACGTCTATAGTGTGGTGGACAATCTTGAGTTGGATTTCCTTTCTTTAAATGTTTTTTTTTGAAATTTTGAATGTAGCTTTACGTCTTCCACTCTCTGAATCACACAAAATCTTTGCCATCGCTGTAGAGTTATTTGACACATTCATATTTCCTGAGAAGGCAGTCACTGTTATTGGCCTGCAGGCAAAGGAGATTCCCCAGTACCACTGGATCAGCTACTCTTCAAAACAATGGATGAGTCATTTAATCCATCAGTAAGCAGACCTGTATTCCATTATTTTGTTCTTGTTTTTCTTCTTTCTGTGTTTTTCCTTTGAGTCATTTGGAGTGCGTGTGAGTGCAGTAGAGCTTATCATACTTTGATTTCAACAGACACTGTTCCTCAAAATATGAAGCTGTTGCTCAGATATCTGA